TTTGATAGCATGCATTAACTTGCACGTTGCAATGATAAACTTTCATGGGCAATATTTAAGAAAGCGGATGAATATCATGAAGTTGCTTTCGGTGTCTAAGATGCCACAAAGTTTTAAAACGAGTAAAGAAAAAAAAAGTTAGACCACGAAGATTTTGGACAAGGCCGGGACGAGCAAGTGCTTGGTGGGACAACTTTGCCAGTGAAATAGTCGTAACAGAGGAATGGAGGGAGAACTTTAAGATGAGCAGAGAATCGATCAACTCTTTGGCGGAAGAATTAAGACCATACATCGAAGGGAAAACACTATAATGGGAAATCAGTCGACGTTGTGAAGCAAGTAGCCGTCACATTATATTATTTGAGCGACGAGGGTCGTATGCGGAAAACAGCTAACGCTTTTGGGCTTTCCCGGCAATCTGTGTCAAAAATCGTCCGGAAAGTGTGTAAAGCCATAACAATTTATCTTGGTCCAAAATATATTAAACTTCCAAGGACTGAGGAAGAAGTAAATTGTCTGGTAAAAAAGTTCCATAGAGTGCACGGTTTCCCTCAATGTTTGGGAGCAATTGATGGAACCCACATAGAAATTAGGCAGCATAATGCAAACTCAACAGATTACATCAATCGTAAGGGTCGTTATAGCCTTAATGTTCAAGCTGCTTGTGATTATAATTATTGTTTCATGGATGTTGTTGTCAAATGGCCCGGGAGTGTGCATGATGCTAGAGTATTTTCAAACTCTAGTCTAAATTCTTCCTTAAAGAGTGGAAAAATTCCACCGTGCAAACGTACAATCCTTCCTGATAAGGATCCTGTGCTAGTATTCATTCTGGGAGATCCTGCATATCCACTTATGCCGTATGTTATGAAGGAAAATTCAAATGGTGGGTCAACTGTGCAAGAACAATACTTCGGTTTGACCTTGTGCAAGGCTCGCATGGTAATTGAATGTTCATTTGGCCGCTTTAAAGCTAGATTTGGAGCTTTAAAGAGAGCAATAGATATAAATATGGATGAGCTACCATGTGTCATTTATGCATGTTTTGTGCTTCATAATTACTGTGAGATAAACAATGAAAAGATTGGAGAAGAAAAGGTTTCCTCTGCCATTGATTACGATAGAGAGTTTCAACCAGCTGTTGTTACTAACAATTTCACCACTGATTGCAATGAAAGTGAGGGTAAGAAAACAAGAAGGATTTTGACCAAGTACTTTGATCCTTGAGAATTTGATGTGTTTGAAAAATATGGAAGAATTTGCACCAATACTTCTTGTAAATATACTTATAATAGATTGAACATGATAGCTTTTCCAAGATTGACCGTGACACAACATTGATATATTGATTTTTAATTTAATTATGTTGGAAAAGTATTATTTGAACATAATATTAATCTACTAAATTATGGAGTTGATTTAATGATATAAATTGTTTCAAATTGTGCTATTAATGCTGTCTTAATAAAAAATAAACTGTGCAAATATATTTTTGTTCTTTTTATGAATAATTGGGGAATACACCTGATTGTTCAGGGTATCTTGGCTGTAAAGTGGTCAAGTTGTATTTATCATGACCACTAACTGCGACTTGTGTGCATTGTGCATAATTATTTGAATGTGGATGTCTAAAAGGTAAAGGATTGCGTTGAGGGACATATTGTGAAAAAAATGCAGTAGGTTGCATCATTGACTTCAGCCATTGTAAATCCTTCAGCAATAGACCCTGACAGCTGCTCCATTATGGTAGTTAGTCTTTCGGAGTGTTGTAAATGCTTTTGATCCATTTCATCAATTTTTTTCTAGCGTTTTTTTCTTCATTCATCTCTCTTCGTGCCAATATTATCAGTTCATTATCTGGTGAGATTTTTCTTTTTCATTTCTCTTGTTTGTATCCCTCAGCTTAGCATCAAGCAAATTTCTTCTTTTCTTAACTTCAGACTCCTGCACTTCTTTGAGGTCTCGATATTGTCTGTTTCTTGTGATATATCGCTGTCAAAGATTGTTGATGATGCAGGACTCGAAGGAGTTGAAGATGAATTTATTGAGTCTACTGTTATGTCTGCAGACTCAAATCCAGCATTTATTGTGGATGTAGCAGGATCCTCCCATATCGCTTCACAAACTTCGAAGTACAAAGAACCACCCTCCCATGACCACTTTTCTTTCCACTATCGACGGCTGCTCTGAATTTGGACCGTATTGCCTTGAGTTTGGTGGTTATTATTACTTTCGTAATATCTTCTTTGTTGTGGGAAAATCTTTCCGATATCCTTGGCGTTTTCTGCAGATGGATATTGCGATTTAAATAAATAAAGTATATCAGAGTACTTGCTCTGACAAGATTCCCAGTCGATGTTCTCAGCGGTTTGTTTAACCTTGTACTCCTCCGTAACTTTGGAGAAGCTCGACCTCATCATCAGTCCAAATATAACATTCGACTTTGCCTTTTCCTTTGGTGGAGCCTTTATTTGACTTGGCCATTCTAATTTTTATTCAAACTCACGAAATCAAACAGAGTGGCCCACGATGCCAAATGTAAAGATGGTAAAGAGATGTTGCTAAATAGCGCCAAAATTTGGATGCTGCAAAACTTGATGAATCTCTTGTTACAAGTAAATGCGCATGCTCTGTGCTTAGAAGTATTAAATTTCCTCCGTTTTTGCGTATACGTGTGGACAGGCGAAAACGATTCAAATACGCTACGTGTGGACGCAAATCTTTTCAGAAACGGAGAAAAAAACCTCCGTTTTCAAAAATATCCGTATACGTGTGGACGGGGCCTTACTGTCGTGATTTTCGGTTTCACTTTGCTACACTTGTAAGATGAGTAAAGTGTATTAAATTAAGTGGATTAAATTAATTTATTAACCAAGGCAAGCGCGCTGCTTCGGAGCTCAATTTGAACATTTGCGCATGCATTAATCTAGATTTGGAGGCTTCTTATTCGAGGAATGTCGAGAAAAGGCAAGCGGCGCTTCTAAGGGCGCCGCTTGATAGCGATTGGTCAACAGTCTTGTACGCTCGCAATTTTAAACACATATCAGCGCACGAATAATATTCGTATATTCAACACATGGACATCCGAATTATTCACGCCGTTAATGTTATCGTTTATTAAAAGATGACTGAGAGCGAAAGGTAATGTTCTGATTTCTAATTCAAAGTAGTAGTAGATTTCTAATTTATGTATGTAGAAGATATTATCTGTAGCATGTTATACTTTAGCGTTATATAAGTCTTGCGTATGAGCTCTGAACGTGATTTCAATGTACTAGAACGCTATTAAATTTTGTGATTATTTTATTCACTAGCAAAGAAGTTATTTACAACAGTCGTGAGTACAGTGGCGTGCGGTGACCGAATTTAATAGGCAAGCGCTGGGGGTGAGGTTCGCGGCATGCCGCGAAGCTATCTGGGGGTTCTGGGGGCATGCTCCCCCAGAAAATTTTTGGATTTTGAAGGCTACTGGAGCGCATTTCCCGCGATTTCTGGGAGTACTTTGTCGAAAAAATGTATCTGTCATGACTGAAACAGTATTGAAAAAACGCGCTACTTAAACTTACGCACTTAAAAGCTTTCTAGAAATTATAAAGTTATTGGATTATATTACCTCTATATCATCAATCTCATGAAAAGAAATAAGAAGCAAAATTTTTGTAGAAAAGCTTTGAAAAGTGAAAAACATTTATTTAAAAAAGCAGCAATGATGCATATGATAAATCCCCATTCCGTACTCTAATAGGTAAATAAGCTCAAACTGTTTCTTAAAGAAATATAAGAAATATAAAAAAATATACAGTACAGTAATTTTAAGGGTTTCATCACTGAATCTTTAATGCTTCAGTATAGTGCATTAGATATTAGTAACATTTAAACAACACTCAACTAAAATATTTTGATAAAGATATGACATCATTTAAACATTAAGTTATATAAAACCCAATGGCTTATACAGTTTGAAGCTTCACATCTGCATCAAGTCATCATCAATCTCAGTACAAATGTTTACATAGACACAAACTTTATGGCCTTTCCATTTTATATGTTGTGAATTGACATTTAATTAAGCATCAAAACACACACAACCTTCTTGCCATCTTTTCTTGGTTCATGAACTTTAACTTCAAAGCATTCAAGGCATCATTAGTGAATCCATTGTCTCCATCCATAGAATTTGACCATGATCAAATTAAATAACTCTGGATAAGGCAGACAATAAATCAATTATCTTTACAGCATTATCATTTTTTTAAGACTCTGCCTGGTCAATAACATCTTCTAGTCATCTTTACTCCTTAGTCTTCCCTGCATGTTGTCAGCAAATAGAACATAACAAGCTCTGCTCCAAATCATGGGTACTGTTGGGGCTGATCATTTCTTCTTGATACTTTTCACAGAGCAAAATGTGTGCAGGGTCTTTTTTACTTTAGGGAAACTATTTTGCAAATAGATAGGTAAATTTACGATTTCATGCATTAACAAATGACAGAAAAGTATGCAGAATTTTATAGACAAAAAACAGGAAAACATCAGTATATTTGGCGTTCTAGTCAGTCTTAAAAAATACGATATTTAATATGTATTTTATGGCTTTTCAAGTGCATGTATAATTGCTTTTCAATCGTTGACGGACTAACAAAACAAACAACTACCTCACCTGTGAGAAGCGATATGTACCTTTTTGTGGAAACTACGACATCCAACAATTGAACGATTGAAGTGTTGGCATTATAAAAGAAATGCCAAAAAAGAATCGTCACAGAATATGGAACTAACGATATCCATATTCTGTGATATCGTGTTTGTTTTGAAAATTCTTTATAATTTACTATAGACACCAGGGGGAGGTCGAGAATATTATTTTTCTGCAAAGCGATCATTTCAGCGGAAATACGTCCGTTGGCCGCCATTTTTTTGGCGACCTCGCCCCAGTAAAGTGAGCCGCTCCAGTTATTATAGAACTCAATGCACATATCCCACCAGAGTTACACATATCCCAGCAGAGCTACACATATCCAACCAGAGCTACATGCCAGTGACAGATTTTACCCAGCGTTAATCGAACATATGTGAAAGTTGGAAAACACTTACTGTCTTCCTCGAGTGATTTCACAGTCTTCTGTACATTTTCAGTATAAGGTCATTGCTCGAAATTTTCCATTTCAGCCAATACCACTGCAGCAACGCGCTCCGTGCATCCACGAATGAGACCAGCAGTCCCATCCAGCGTCTCCACATCTCTCTCCTTTGTCGCCTTGATACAGGATTCAACGTCCTCTCAATATGATTTTCTATCAAAAAACAATTAAATACTTATACAGCAACTGTAAACAGCACATTAGTAGGAAAGGAATGTTGTGGTAAAGTTTGAAGCAAAACACACGCTTGGAAACTGGCTAATACTGTTGTACATTTTGTGTCTAGGTAATCTTTCTTACTACGTTGAACTCATTAGGATCGACGACAGTCACTAGACTTAATTGAGCAAAATGACACACAGCACAAAACATAACACAACAAACACAAACATGCACTAAGAATACACCATGATAAATCATTAGTATATTAAGCAGGTGAGGTGATCAATGTGTTCATACCTGAAACAGTTAGAAATTCGTCAATCTCCGTGATCTCATCCACAGCTTCAACCAGAAGATGAACTTGACTTTCCCAAGTCGCTTTGAATGTGTCGATATTGGCACGTGCCGTACGACTACGTGGGCGGGCTGCCAACGTGCGGGCTGCATTTATCACCTAAAAGTGAGGACTTTACTCGCAAAAAGCTAGGCAAAAAAAGCGGTGTGCGAGCATAAGAAGACTGGGGCTGAATAATACAATGTGTCGCAATACATTTGAATGCAAACTTTTTCATAAGACCTACACAGACACAACAAATATATAGTTGTTTTACCAACCTGTGGACATAAATTGTGAATTTTCTTGGTGATCACTCGAACAAGTTTAACTCCCTCAGCATTATTAGACACAGAGCAAGCAAGATTGGCGACCTCAAGTGACACAATAAAATGGCATTTTTTACATTTACGTTAACCTGTTGCAATTTTGAAAATATGTTAGTCAATGCAGGTACACATAAGTACACAGAGCAAGCGAGATTGGGTATATGTGCGCGTTTTATCTCCCCTCTCCCTCCAGGTTTGTTTTGCTGGGTTTTTCCCGGAGTGCTCCAATAGTTTCTTCCTTTATCTTGTACTTATAAGGCCACGTACCAACTGGTGGTGAGTATACATTTCGCAAGGTGGATAGACTATCTTACTTTTCGTTACGACTAAACGGTTGAAATAACATATACTGTATGCTACAACTCTTTACCTCTTCCAGCTTCGCAGCTCCTTCGCTGAACACAATGGCGCATTCCTCGACCCCACGTTGATTACCATCTTTGGCAGCGTCAACAAGCAACATCAGCGGTACAAGAGTGTCGAGAAAGGTATCCGAGATATGATCAGCCACGGCAACACGCATCTAAAACATAAATTTCTGACAATAAGAAAGCCATGTATGTCTGTTGAGTGTTGACGCATGATGTTTACGGCCGTAGTCAACACACTTTACACAAGTTTTACGTTTTACAGATTGGAGAATAAAGATACAAACTTGACGTCGTAGATCTTGAGTTTTGTCGGCCATGCTATCAATGGACTCATTAAGTTCATCGTTCGGTGTCGGTGTCTGTTTTGTCTCGGCCTGCGCAAAAGAAAACAAACCAAATAAAGGCAAGACGAGACCATCAATTTCATTTCCAGCAACGTAAACGGCATGACTTTAGCCTTACATAATGTATGTATATAGAAACAAGTTCTTGTAGGGCCGTGTGAACTTTGACGCATTCTTCGAGTAACCTTTCCTTCGTTGTTGGACGTGTTGTTGGTAAGTCGGATAATCTTCGCGCTCGGATAAAATCCTTTCAGTTTGTTCTTCAATTCTCAATTGAGTTCGTCTTTCGAGAAAGGCGGCCGGGTCCATGACAAGACTCGCCTGGGAAATGAAGTAAGTCAATTAGGAAATGGTGGTTTTCACTGTAACTATTTGACTTGTGATGATGCTTAAAGTGAATGGTTTGAACCCGGGAGTATCGCTCCATGTATTGAAGGCAACTACCATGATCTATCTCACCTCTCTGTGGATACTGGTGGATTGAAGGCGCAACTACCATGATCTATCTCACCTCTCTGTGGATACTGGTGTATTGAAGGCAACTACCATGATCTATCTCACCTCTCTGTGGATACTGGTGTATGGCAACTACCATGATCTATCTCACCTCTCTGTGGATACTGGTGTATTGAAGGCAACTACCATGATCTATCTCACCTCTCTGTGGATACTGGTATTGAAGGCAACTACCATGATCTATCTCACCTCTCTGTGCATACTGGTGTATTGAAGGCAACTACCATGATCTATCTCACCTCTCTGTGGATACTGGTGTATTGAAGGCAACTACCATGATCTATCTCACCTCTCTGTGGATACTGGTGGATTGAAGGCGCAACTACCATGATCTATCTCACCTCTCTGTGGATACTGGTGTATTGAAGGCAACTACCATGATCTATCTCACCTCTCTGTGGATACTGGTGTATTGAAGGCAACTACCATGATCTATCTCACTCTCTGTGGATACTGGTGTATTGAAGGCAACTACCATGATCTATCTCACCTCTCTGTGGTTGAAGGCAACTACCATGATCTATCTCACCTCTCTGTGGATACTGGTGTATTGAAGGCAACTACCATGATCTATCTCAACTCTGTGGATACCGGTGTATTGAAGGCAACTACCATGATCTATCTCACCTCTCTGTGGATACTGGTGTATTGAAGGCAACTACCATGATCTATCTCACCTCTCTGTGGATACCGGTGTATTGAAGGCAACTACCATGATCTATCTCACCTCTGTGTGATACTGGTGTATTGAAGGCAACTACCATGATCTATCTCACCTCTCTGTGGATACCGGTGTATTGACAACTACCATGATCTATCTCACCTCTCTGTATACTGGTATATTGAAGGCAACTACCATGATCTATCTCACCTCTTACTGTCAAACTTCTGTCCAGGTATAATGACATCATCAGCATATTTATCCTCATCGTCATCGTCATCGTCACTTAATTTCTCCTATGGACATAAAATGTTATGCACGTAAGTGACAACTGAAACGTCATGATACTGGGTGAAACGGGGAAATTTCAAGAACGCACTTTTTCCTCAACTTTCTTTCCGTCCATTAAATCTTGATGCAGTTTATCCGACTTCAGATGTTCTTTCGCCTACAAAGAAATATCAGTAAGCTTCGCTTTAGAAAACTTATAGATAAAGATGAGGTCCATACATAAGCGCACGGGAGCTATCATTTCTGGAGAGGGGAGTAAGAAATTTTCCCCAATTCACAAAGAGGTCCCGCCGTAATTTCGCCCGTTAAAAATTTGCCCAACTTTCCAACTACCCCTGTCCCGTACGCCTATGGGTGCATAAAGTACTCGTATCAATGATAAATATAGATCAATCGGAGAGTAGAATATTTAGATGACTGAAAAAGAGAACTTTACTCCGTGATGAGTACTCGCAGTGCTACTGGCCAAGAGGTTCATTAAGTAAGAATGCGATAATAAGAACAATTTGAAGTTCGGTTTCTTTGTTCACAAAAACTTTCGCTTACCAATTCCATTTTTTGATATTCTTCTAGCACCTTTTGGTGTTCTTCAGGATCATAACCAACCCATCTTAATGTAACGAACACCATGCAAAAATCAATGGCGAAGTACTCGCTGTGTACATAACTACAGCGACGTATCACTGAACAATCCCACTTCATGTGTAAACCATGTATACCTGTCTCTTTTGCCATCGTAGTCAAAGCTATGTTGTTCAGGGACATATTCGTCGGGTTTTTTATCTTCACCGGTGAATTTAGCACCTACACGTCTAGGACGCTACCAAGTTAAGTGAAATAAATACTACAGATTGTAAAATAAGCAACGCGATTTATGAATGCCATATTTTCATACTTTAAAGATCATTTTATTAAATTACAACATGCAGGGTGCAATCACAAGAGTCGTTTAAATGTTTCTTGTTGTGCGTAGATTACCGTGAAGCATTGACTTTAAGCCCTCTGAATATAACAACACGCCCATTGTATTAGCCCATCATATATCGCTCACGAAAGTAACACGTGCAGGTCTTACAGTCGAGAGTCTACGGTAATCCTTTAATCTTGCAAGTGATTGATTTAAAGTGATAACCGGATCCGGATTTAGGCTCTACTATCCTCGATGTTCAGCTAGGCAAAAATTCCCATTAAAAAAGACCGACGCCACTAATCAATCTCATCAGACAACAAGAGTTAAAACAGATTTCAAATACATAATTATCATGAAAGAAACCTCTAGACAGTCTTTTTTCTTGTGAGTAATCGCACCACAGTTTTACAGGCCCTTTCGAAATTTTATCGCTGCAGTCTAAAGATTTAGACAGGTTACATTACATAATTTTCAAAACGATGAAAATTCACCAACGTGTAACTCGCTACCTCTTTCAAGCCACGTTTATACGATGCATCAATTTTCGCAAACTGTTTTTGCCTTTCTTCCTGTGGCCTTTGATGCTTGAGAGTTGGTCTAAATATTGAGAAAAATCATTTAAGGTCTGCATTTGTACTTTTACACAGGACATGGTTTGAGTTAAAACAATCTTACAACTTTTCATTGTAGAATAATATTCATTGCAATGTTATGTGGTGTTCATTGTTAAAGACAAGGATGAATCTACAATGATTTTGTGAATGGAATGGTGGTGCTCAAGCTTGGATTGCATTTCCATGGTTACTTGTCAATGTAGCATATCCGACTCTTTTTTGTGAAACAACTGTTGGGAGTTCAATTCTAGTAAAGGCTTATTTTTGGTTAGTACTGTGCACTTGGAGCAGTTTTGATATATTTTTCAAAGGGAGTCAAAATTTATGTCAAAACAAAAGCTCTGGCAGTGAGATTTTGTAAATGAGTAAAACATTAATGTTTGAAGTCAAAATCAGATAGAGTCGAATATAGTATTTAATTATGTATAACGAAAGATAACATGACATCTTTCGTTATACATAAATTAAAATACTATATTTCGACTGTATCTGACACTATGACAACTCTCAGAGCAGTATTTTGCTCTCACACTATGACAACTGCATAATGTGAGAGCAAAATATTTTATGACAAAGTGATTCAGAGACAAGGTGCTGTTTTTCATGAAAGTAAAACTATTTTGTAAAACCTTTTCTTCATTCATAGCAAGATTTTCCAGTGTGGTGGGTAGTTACAGTATTTGAAAGACCGTGAAAATTAACACTAAGTTTTTGGCCAAAGCTGAAGTTTTTATCCCGACCAGATCCAGAACCTGAGGTGAAGGTGAAAACCCTCAAAACTACTCTTTGCATTAGCAAGTTGCTTTGAAAGTTCAAGATGTTGATGTTGAACTCGAAATTGATTGCTTTACACTAAAGTCAACAATTTTGTTCTGCATATACTATTTGTATTTCAGTAAACAAACAAGTTGAATATATGATTTTGCATCAAATTTAAAAATCCAAGCCAGCAACCTCAGCAACAAACTATACGAAACAACACAATATAAACTATTTAACATACCCAGATGCTCCATAGTACCAAGGCATCCGAAATATATTGAGGAATATGAGGGTTGATGTCTCTAGATAAAGCAAAATATTGAATGTATCAGATATTATGAAAATATTTACACAATTCATAAATAAAGTACTTTAAGCACTACTTTACAAGATCTTCAGTGGTTTAAAAAACCAAGTAATTTTAATTATCGCATAACAAGACAACACTTGGACATAGGATTTTATAAAGTGAATGGTTCAGACACACATGACATGTTTTCTCTCACAATATGTGTTATATTTATTCCACATACAATCTAGAATTATTATATAAACTTTAAAATTTAAACAATAAACAAACTAGTATATTTTAAATTTATTTATATATAACGTGAATCATTTCTAAGTAATATATTTTTAATTTGAAATGCTTCGTAAAATTCATAAATAATGAGATATAAATTAGTTGAACTTGAAATCGAATGTTTGAAGTAGAAGGAAACTGTTAAGTATTCGCAATCACAAAAATTACGAACATAAAAAGGCGCAAGATGGTTAGCCTTTTGACAAGTAAAAAGAAAGTTTAGACGATACACATACTTTCCTGTTTCATCCTGCAAAGCTGGTGCAGTTCCTGCCTTTCTAGCTTCTTCTAATAATTTTTCTTTCTTCCAATCTGTTCTTATCATTTTTTGCTGAGAACTTGCCGCACTTGCAGCTAACTCGAGAGATCGGAGCACAGACGCCATATTGAAATTTGGCACGTGAAACGTGAACTGAAAGATAAAAACACCATCGTTGCGCGCGCGAATTGATTTATCGTCTTGCCGCGAAATACGATTTTACCCACTTTAACTTTTTTGTAAAAAAACATCATCGTATGCGCATAAAATAAATAAATTCTTTCCACTTTCTTGTGTTAATGTATTTGTATTTGAGACAGTGCATGGGATGAAGTGTTAATAAATTTAAATACTTACACGGACACTTACCAGACAGAATACGAATAAACGACATCGTTTGGTTTTGGAAAAGAAAATATATTTAGGCAAGTGTTTTGCCGTGTTTTAGAAATAATGACGTAATATACTGAACCCACGCATCAAATTTCAATATGGCGTCTGTGCTCCGATCTCTCGATTTAGCTGCAAGTCATCACATAAAAATTCTTGATTTGCAAAGAAAAAGATTGGACTCGCTGAAATCTTGCAAACAAGCCGATTAAACGACTATACTAATAACCTATGGTAAGATATTGAAAGACGTGCATCTGCGATTCGTCTAACTGGCAAATGCTGTAAAGTTTTCAATGATGCATGATTCATGGCTTAGTTTTTCAAATAATAAAGACAATATATATTTATTAAATATCATGCTCTTATTAAAACCCGCAGGCAAGCTTTTAAATGTAACAACAAATAAATTTCTGTCAATTACATTTTCAGTTAACTGTCGACAAGCATGTCAGTGTTGTATCCATTGAACTAAAATAGATGGAAGTCTACGTCTGTCGATATTTTGATGCCAGAGAGCCCACTCTTTCCACACAATATAAACGCACGGCCGATAGAAGCGAAGGAAAAGATAACTTGTATGATTTACAAATCTCCGAAAACAAAACAAAAGCCCTTTTTTATTTGGCAAACAAAACTTTTCAAATGAAATTTAACATTAAGCATACACAACTTTTCGGCAATTAAAGTTTTGTAAAGAAAGCCCTAGCTTTTATCTATTACAGGCAGCCTTCCTTCTATGATAGTTCAGTGGTATGAATGTTTTATGCAGTGCGGTGTTTGAATTAAGAAGATTGTCTGGCACAATTTAAGAAGTCTCAGGACCTGAAAAATCAGGTGACTGATTTTTCAGGTCCTGAGACGATTGCTTAAATTGTCCAGCAAAGTGCGAAGATCATATCTTCATTTAATAGTTCAGTGGTGTTATCACAGTTCTCTTTGCTCCAATTTTTGCACGATTTTATACTTTACTAAGCAGTTTGGTGAGAGGATACAAATTGAACAGGTGACGTAGCCTGTTTCATTTTTTCAAAGATTATGATTTTTTTTCACCACTTTCAAAGAGAAAGCAGTTTTGGTGTGCTAGTGAAGTCTATTAAACCAGACGGCAGCTACGTACAATACGCTTTAGTAAATTTTATTTTGAATTTGAGACCAACGCCCGTTTTCTAAACGCTCTCTCACGCTAATCGGGTTCTCTCTAATTAATAGCAGAGTGATTTCTTCTACAATTGCAAGATTTTTGCTAAAATATTCCAATAGAATAAGCTTCCACATTTACATGAAATGTTTTACGAGCAGTATGTGAATTATTTCTGCAATGCTCAGCAATATATCTCGTTTTGCCCGAGTTACATATGTTTTAACAGATTGACTACGGATAGTTCCTTCCTATTCTCTCAAAATGATGTTTGAATATGAGTAGCTACTCAAAATAAACTCCTTTCTCACTTCTTAATCATAAATGCATGTGCGTTGATACAAACTTTTATTATACGCACGCAGCAATACGCAGATGTTCATTCTTTCCGGCAAATTTCCTTTAG